GGGAAAGAGACCACTCAAGAACAAGAAATTTAGTTCATGGGAAAGAAGGGAGCGAAGCGCAGCGGCTGCATTCTTGCTGCACAAGGGAGAAGGCAAGGCGAGCCCCGTGGAGTCGGTGACCAGCGTGTCACCTCCTTTGAACAAAAGTGGTTCCAACGGTTACAGGACACTTGCTATTAGCTATGTGGTCTCATACATACCCAGTGAAGCACCAGTGACAGGCCCCACTGAGAACATGAAAGAATATGGGCACATCCAATGGCTCTTCTGTCAGGCAGCAGTGCCAAGATTTCAGAAGTAGGTCGCCACACACGCAGATGCATCAAAGGAAAGGCTGCAGGCATGCTAAATGCAAAATCTGGCAATCACACTGTTTTCCTTGATCTAGCCTACAAACACTGTCATCTCACACTAAAACTTGTCTCTGCCAGACATAGCTTTCTCAGAAAAGCTAGCATGACCCCAGCCACTTTGCCAAGCAGGATATGTGCATCTTGTAAATCCTTGGGATGCTCAGCTTACACATGCCTATCCACAGCTCCCTCAGCCAAACTCAGAGGTAGAGACAACTGCTAGTATTGTGGCCATATATAAAGTAGCTCTAATAGTTAAAATAATGAAAGTGACTTCTCACTGGGGTCAGTTCCAGGAGTAACTCTGGAGGCGTGCAATCCATAACTGCAGGCGGGATGCTGAAAGTAAAATTCCACCAGCCTGAAAGGAAACCATCTGGAGAAGGCTGCTAGTATGACAAGGCAGCTTCAAAAGTGGTTAAACTGACAGTGAGTTACCTGTCTACAGTCACAGACCCTGCAGAGCTGTCAGGAATTGTATGTAGAGCCCTGAGGAACAGAGTAGGCAAGAGACTTTCTAGAGGAAACATCAATATGTCTATACACTCTGCAAATTCCTATGCAGCTGCAAAGGTTTACAGAAGCAGGAGCACAAAGTGCTTTTTTGAAACACAATTCCTAACAACTCAAATCTTTTTTGCTTGGGCTGCTGCAGGCTGACAAGTGCAGGCCAAGTTAGCATCCTTAATACAGCTCCAGGATATTAAAAAGTATGCTTAACCCTTCTTCATTCATTTCTCAGTCCCTGAAGTAGCTCCAGTATTCAAGGTGATATGCAGGTACTGAGGCGCTGGATGCAGGTGAATTATTCTCTGCTAAGAGGGAGCAGAAGCTGCAGAAGCAGTTTCAAGAAGATATAAAGAGAAAGAGACAGAAAGACTCTGTTAATTCAACTTACGTGAAGAAGTTTTTGTCCCTTCTGTTGATGCTGGTATCTTGCTGGTGCTCTCTGGAAAACACAAGAGGCGACAAGAAGTTATAATGTGGAGTCAGACGATCCTCTAACAGCATTCAACTCCAAGAATGGACAAGGTAAAGGGTAAAAAGGCGCTTAAAGTAGCAAGCTTAAATTCTGCTTCAGTGGGCAGAGGCTGCAATCAGACGCCAGCTTGCAAAAGTTTCCTTTTGGGAAAAAAATGAAAAATGATGGTGCCTACTAGTAGGATGGAAGAAAAAAAGCCCATTTCTTCAGAAAGAAGCCAGTTGTTCAATCTCTCTTTCTCTTCTGGGAACAGGAGAAATCATGCAGATGGCTCTGCTGCTGGAAGGCGTCAGTGTGGGTATTCACTCCTTATGCTTCTAGGCAGTTAAATTTTGTGAAGACGTGTTCCTGTTCATAACACTTGAATTGCTGGTAAGTACATCCAGTAACGTCACTTGCCACTTCAGGGAGATCTTCTAGGTCACACATGCAAAGGCAGTCCCCCATGGGATGACTGCTGGGGGCTCCGTGATTGAAATTAAATGGTTGCTTTGCTGAAGAGATGAGAGAAGTTGCTCTTCCATAATGGTCCTACGGAGGTATGCTATTGCTGGAGACATACTGCCATGGACTTATTGCACCCACTTTTTGCACCCATAGCTGTGGGGGCTAATGCTGCCATGCTTAGATCCCTGCTAATGCCTTGCAGAATGCAGATAGGAGAAAGCAGAAAGTAGAAAGCCTTCATTTCAGCTTCACAGGCTTGTACAGAAACCTTGTTCCAATGACATCATCCATCTTTCTGTGTGCTGTTGACCCCACAAGCCACAACTTGTGTGCAGTTTCCTAGGTGTGAACAAATTGCCCTTCAGTTGCATGCATCATCAATCTTGGCCTTCTCCAAGTTCTCTAAACACTTTTAAGCCTCATAGGGGTGCAGTTCAATACAGCTGCACAAATTTCAACTCCCTAGCTGGAGAATGGCCACAAATGCCAGGGAAGAAGTCTTGCCTTGAGTCCTCAAGGCACACCAAGAATCCTCTGGTAGGCTGAACAAAAAGAATTTAGAAAAAGCCTCATAAGAGATTTAGGAAAAGGCAACTGAGGAAAATTTTCACTCTGTTCTGTGATTCTAGATCAGGTGGTCCTCTGCTCACTGTCTTCAGAGTCCGCACAAGCTTAACCAGTGACAAAACTCAGTCCAACTGTCTCTGTTCAACATCCCTCTCATTAAACTTCAATGTTGAGCCTTTATTTTAATTTCATACTTGCTAGCTCTTCTTTTGTATTTTTTTCATTTTGGTCCAGTTTTCTTTAGCAAATATATTGTTTGCCTGAGCAATATGTCCCAGTTTCATCTCACTGATGTGACAGAATGCGTTATGCAGCATAGCCAGTGATGTGTGGCATGGAAATGAGTATCGTAGTAAAATTTTGAAGGTCAAAGCCTTTGAACTAGGTCTTGGAACACAGTGGCCTATAGACAGGCAGCTTTCAGGAGCTTTTTTTAGGTATGGAGGCATTTTGCAGTTGTGCAGCTGGGTTGTCTAAGCAATTAAGCTTTCTTAGTCACCACAGGAGACAGAACAGGTCTGACAGCTGCATAGCTCAGCATCTGGCACAACTGGAGCAAATTTTTCTTTCACCGTTAAAGAAACCATGTTCCATTTAGTGTCCATGCTGAGCTTGACGGAGTATTTCTGACTGCTGACTCCCCAGCCCAGCTGTGTCAGTACAAACGCCAGCAGGAAGCTTCCCTGCCAGTGGAAAACACAGTAAGAGCCTCCCACACCTGAACCGTGCTGAGACACACGTTTGGAAAACATGGCAAAAAGTCACATGTTACCAAGCCCTGCTAGTAACACAGTGGATGCTAACATTTGAAAAACGCAAAATTTGTGTGTGTTGCTTACTGAGGACAGTACACCACAATGGTAAGAGAGATGTTTTACTCCACCTGAGAAGTCCAGCGTGGATAAATGTCACAAGCCATCTGAACACAAGAAGCAGAGAGAAAAGATGCTGTTTGTAGGGGACTGTCGACACCTGCCCGAGATGGAAGAGCTGGAAGCATTTTTCAGTCATGATACTTGCAGTTGCTGTTGCAGTCTGCTAAGGTATGGAGGCAGCTGCCAGCCCTGTCTTCATCATGATGTTTAAGTGCCCATGAGGAGCAGCTACCTCAGATGCTCCATCCAGTTCTGTCCCCCGGCTCTTTTAGGAGCGCTTGGGTTTTGTGAAGTGCTATTTCCTGAAACTGGACATGTTTGTACTGGGGCTTTCTTAAGTAAAAATATTGAAGGACGGACAAGAGATCCTTGTTTGGGAATGTTTTAAGGGACAGGTTCCTGCAGCCTCTGTCTCACTTCCTTAATAATCCTGCCAGCTCCATCACCTACTATGTCCTCTGGCAAGACAGAGAAGAGCCCCTCAAATCCCCCAGGACTCACAGCAACCCACCACCTTCCTGGGCTTGGTATCTTGATCCGTCCTTCCAGGTAGGGAGCTTTGTTTGGGCTGCTGAGAGGAAACAACTCAATACCAGGGCTTCAAGATCTGCTGTAATGCCTCTGATTGAGGCAGGAGGTCCCCCTCCCCTGGAGAGACCTTTTCTCCAGGGATAACCAAACACCTAGGAGCCCTACAGCTGCTGTTTTGAAGAGCCCTCTGCATGCCCTCGCAGCCTTTTCCCGCCCCCCCCCAGTTAGTTTGCCAAAGGTCTAACACAAAAAGCCTGCTTAAACAAACTAAAAGGTTTTGGTTGAACTCATGGGTTTTGGTTCAACTCATGGGTTTTGGTTCAGGCCTTGAAGGTGGCTCTGAGGACCCTGACAGGGACAACAACCTGGGCTCTGTGGAGGATTCAAACACCACGAACATCACAGGTAATTAGAGCTGCAAACAAGCTTTCTGTCATCCTGAGGTTTACTTTCTGGCAGTGATATAAGACTTAAGCCTTTTGCATCGATTGTGCCATTCGGGTGACACATTCCGAATTACACGAAGAATGACACAAGCTAGCAAACACCTTGAGAAAAGGGGAGTATCTGACACCTGTGTTACACGGTCTACAGATGGCAGAGTAGGGAGTATGTGTGTAGAAGGTTGGGTAAGGCCATAGTCTGAGACCTCAGAGGCATGCAGGCATATGCGGTCAAGGACACAGGGAGATCCTATGGATAAACTGACTTTTTGTTTCTTAAAACTACTGTGCTTTTTTACCTTTTTCCTGGTCCTCCAAGAAGCTACTGCCCTGAATCAGGTTAAAAGAGCACCGCTCTCAATTCTAGCATGTCATATTGCAGGGAAAGTTTCAAAGCTACTCTTAGGGAAATTGTTATGTCAAACTGAGTGATGGTCACACTTCTTTCTGTGTGGAGGCCCAAATCGGTGATGTTGGTCCAGGCATGCTGATTTGCACCAGCTGAGAATCCGACCGATTATGCCAGGCAGTTAAAAACACACTATGGCCCCGTTCACCTGCAACTATGCTAGAGAGAGAAGAGATAAAATGACCTCCTGCTTCAATCAAGCCTCAGACAGATTAACGTACGAGTAGAAAGGACTTTTCTTGCATTTGAGGTATTTCATAGCTGGCCACATGCTCTATGGGTATTAGATGCAAGATGTTTTTATTTACTTATTTCTCTGCCATCTTCATGAAGATAAGCTACTAGCTACCTTCAGAAGAAGAACAACAAATTAAAGTTTAATGAATGATGAATATCAGATCCTTATTGACTACTGTGCAACTCAGAGCCGTTAGTACCACTGCAAGTCCTACGGATGCAAAACCAGAAGCTTGCACAGGCCACTGACTGTGTAGCTAATGAATTTACCAAGTCTCACCTCTGCCTACAGTCGAGTTACATGAACAGATCATCTGAGCACTTTTTGTTCAATTCAGGCAAATTTGTCCCAGCCACCCCCACTGATGACTCAAACTATATTAACTCACTTTGCACAGACGTGCAGGATGAGCGCTCACACAATGCCCTGCATACAACCCAGCAGTTATCCAGCACTGTAGGCTGCTAACTTCTGAAATATCTCTTCAGGAATCCATCCTTTTGCACCCTGAGTCATGCTGGGCACAGCAAACACCCTTGGAGAGGCAGAAGATTTATGTCAACAGGTTTTAATGGAAAAGACTGAAACCACATTTAGCTGGAGCTGTGGCATTCTCACCACTTCAGAAAACAAGGTCACTTACCTAGTTGTCTAAACAAGGGGCTTGTGAGCAAGTTTTCAAACATGAAATTGAAATCTTCTGCTGTGTGGTATGAAGTATTCTCTCAGTGTTATTTATTAAGCACTGTAAGGTCTTAAGTTCATGTGAAAGTCCATGCAAAAATTCACTGCAAGAATTTTGCCTGATTAAAGTGAAAAATTAGGATACAAAAAAGCAGTTACTATTGCATTAGCAAACCTGTGCACTATTTATACAACTCCAGGAGAACTTCATGCCTCTGTTCTGACCTCAATTACAGTCTTTCTTAGGGGAGCATATATGAATAGGAGTGAATGAAAATAAGAGGGCAGCTCATATCCTGTGGGCAAGTTATACTCATTATAAATTTAAAGGAGAACAGAATAGATCCCACTGCTTGCTATTAAGATTGGTAAAAAATAGTGTTTGCCTACCTATTTTTATATCTGCTGCATTTTAATCCACACACATGGCTCTACAGACAAGGCTTTATGCTTCTTTCAGTAAAGATGAGAAAATGTAAAGGTCTATGTAGGTTAATACAGTTTGTATGTGGTGTGTGTGTTTTTATACATAGCAAAAACTTGCACAAGAGCAACTTTGGCAGTTTTAAGTAACGTGAATGTTGACAATAACAGTAACAACAACAAAGAAAGGAGTTACTACTGCATTCATTATTACTGTTTAAGACAGAAAATTTTACCATTTCTGGGTATGAGATCAGAGAAAAATAAAGTACTTTGTTCACTGAAAACAACAAAGAAATTTTTGCAATTGTTTTATTGAGAAATATTCATTTTTTCTATGTTTTGAAGCAGAGAATTGAAATTAACAATTTTCAGACATGAGACCTTAGTAGTAAAGGTGTGGCTTTTCCTATCCTTGGGAAAAAAATAAACATATTTGCCTTGTTCTTAATGTGTTATTTTTTCCTAATGTCTGTTGCTAGTCCATGTTAGAGACAAGGCATCATGCTAGATAGACCTTTGATCTGGCCCTAGAGTTCTCTTTTGTGGCATACACCAGCAAAGAAAATTTCAGCTAAAATGGTTAAAATTTGACAAAATTCTAGGGAATTAAAACTAAGATTTTTATACTGAAAAACATTAATCTTTTAATGGAAAGAAAAATAACCCCATGCCCAGAAATACCGTCACCTTATCTACCCTTGGTCTCAAAGCACCCAGCATAAAGGGAAAGGAGGAACTAGTTGGCAGATAGCAGGGCACACGTAACAAACATGACCAGGTAGGGTCATTAAATTAAAGGTCATAATTAAAGTTACGGTTCATATAGCAGAGCAGGTGAGTACAACCACAAGAAAGTCAGGTCCTCTGATGCATCTTTCTTTACCCCACTGTCACCCTAACTGCTGGAGGTGGAAGGAAGAAACTTCTCTGCCTACCCTGAGAGGTTCAGCCCTCTCAGATGTCCACATACTAGTTTTCTACAGGAGTTCCTCAGCTGCACTGGACTCCGAGGTCTTTTCCAAAAGCCCATTGGCAGGAAATAACAAATACGAGCTAAATATGCTGCTTTTTTTTTTTTTAAAAAAAACTCTCTTTTATGAATAGTGTAGGACCACACAGATATATAGGACCTGAGTAATGACTGCCCTTCAGGGCTCATTACCGAGTTTGGACCCGAAATCTGTCATTAAGCTAGCAAGGGGAAGAGGTCAGGGAATGTGGGGAAGGAGGGGTGAGGAGGTCACCCGCACAGGGGGTCTGTCCCCGTTTGCAAAGCAGATGTTGCCCTCTAAGGCCTTAGGGATCCATTGCTCTTAAGTCACCAGATGTTGCGCATGCTGTTCCTCAAATCCAGGTGGAAAATTCCATCATTAGGAGGAAAACTAGGAACAATTTTACTGGTAATTTATAAGCATCAACAAGCAGAGAGGGGTCAGATGTATGTGTGGCTACCAAATATGCATGATGGATTTATTCACCCAAATGAATGCTGCCATGCCTGATTCTAGATTATTAAATATCACTGAGATGTTCCAGTTCAGATATCACTGGGTTTCCAGTTCAGATCTTTACAGACAAGAGCCAGCTGCCAGGTTTAGATTAGATCCAAGTTTGCCCGCATTCAAGAGAGCTTGCATGCATGGCTGTGTTTTAAAACAACTTAAGTTTCACAACAAGATTAGACAGATTCTAACAAATCAGTTATAAATGCACACAACAGGGCTTGCCTGCAAATGTTTTCATTCAAAACCGAGCTCCCATCTCCCTGCAGCAGGAGTGTTTTGCTGTCATTCAGCACAGCCCAAAGGAAGTTGAAAAATCCATGTCATGAAGCACAGGAATGAGGTCCCACATGCACTCCCCAGCCACATCACCATTCCATGTCTGAGAAAGTAACAGAGGATGCCCAAGCATTTTTTTGCATTTATCTGTATCATTGCCCAGGCACAGTGCGTATGGCTGAGTTTTGGAAACTCCAGTATCTTGGAAACAGTATAGGAGCTTTGCATGTAAGCAGCTAATGAGCAACCAAAGTTTGTATTCATGGAAACCAAGAGCATGTACAAAGCTACATAGAAACACCTATCCATTTTTCCTCCTAATAACATTCTGGTAAATAACACTTGAACTTTAATATCAGTCTCCTGACATCTGATCATGATTATAATAACATATAGCTAGTATGAAATCTTAGCACTTGAGATTCTTTAGTTGATGGAATAGAATAGCAAGTACACAAAGTGAATACAGTTGAGCAATTGTTGTGTGACCACAAAACAGCAGATAGCCAAAGGCACATCCCACGGGCAAAGGTTTATGTTTGTTTTTCTATTTGTTTAAATGCCTATCTCCTGTTTCAGTGCACAATGTGGAAGAGAAAAGCATCCCTGATAAATTCCCATTGCAACAATATCTTTAAATATCTCAGATACACACACATCTTCTGCTTTGTTTGTTAGTAAGAGTATGTTCCTGTGATACTTCATAACTGGCTGGACACTGGAGTTTGAATTATTGGAGCTGAATTAGTCAATGTCACACTTAAGAAACAAGATTTCAGTTGAACTGCAGCCTTCAATGCACTCGGAAGGAGAAACAGTACTGCTAAAACATTTGTGTACAATGAAAACACTCACAAAATTCCACTAGAAGCAACTGGAACTTCCTGTAAATGAAATGGAAAGGAGTCTTGCAAAAATAGCTACAACAATTTTAAATCATTTGGGTAAGTCTGAATGCTACCTGCCTTATGAAACGCCCTGCTCCTCAAGAAATAAGTTTAAATAACAGTACCTGAATTAAAATACCTGAACTACATTCATGCCTTTGAATAATATGCCTTCAAATACATTCATGCATTTGTCTTTATTATTTTAGAAATCAAAAGAAAAAACCTTTGAGTATCTGTGAAAGTAAAAATGGTGGCAGTCAGAAACATACAAATATTACTTAAAGACAAAGACAGGAGTGATGGTTTAGAACTTCAGACTAGGACGTGTTTTAGGTTAAATGAAATCTTCCCCTCAGGCCTGCAGTACCTCCACTACTCATGTGTACTATGGGAATAATATTCCCTTCTCTTCACCCTCCTCTTATCTTGACTATTTAGACTGTGTCTTAGACTTGGTGTTGGAAAGTGTCTCACAGAAAATGCTGATCTCTCCTGAGTTCTGTGGGATGCATCCCATTTGTCTGGGTAAGGAAAATCAAACATCTCAACTACACAGCAGACAAGTCGGGCCTGATTAATTTTCTTAGCACACTTAATAGATTTCAGTTTCCACTTCCACTTCACCTGCAAAGCTTTCGCCTTCTCCAAACCCTTTTATCCTGGCTTTAACACATGGTCTTTCTGAATGTGATAGTAAAAAAGAGCCTTACTTACCATTGGTGTCTGTGATGATAACACTGGCTTTAGTACTGTCATTCCCTAGTTTGCTGCTCACTCTGCATGCGTATTCCCCAGCGTCAGCCAATGTGGCTCTGTAAATGTGAAGCTCAGAGTATTTCCTGTGAAACCAGAAAAAAACATGGAAATATCCTGTACTGGAGTAACAGCCATTGCATCAACTAATGCATTCTTTTTTTCCTCTCAACAGAGAGTCTTGTCTTCCATTCTTACTGACAGATTAACACTACCCAGGTTTGAAAGAAGGGAGGAGAATAAAAAATTTCTCTCTTATAGGCTGCTGGAAAGCAGGCATATTAATGAACTCAAACGAAGATACTTATTTATGCTTTTCTGCTTGAGAGGAGTCTTTGTTCTTAAAGGAAACCTGAAAAAGAACCTTCCTCTCTCAGCTGAATTGTTGGCTATCCAGATGGCACAGAGATGGGTGTAATATTAAAATAGATTACCCTTTCCTACAGGTCATATTGCCAGTAGCAGAGTTCTGGGTAAGTACTGTAGTTTCCAACATCTGACTAAATAATCATGAGATTAGGACACACCACTCTCTTTAACAACCTCTGAAACCCCAGCAGTAAATCATTCTCCAGCACTAACAAGAAATTATGGGCGGGAGCACAATTTGCATGAAGCTACATTTTGTTGCTGGCTCAGAGATGTAATTTAATCAGTCTCCAAGGTATTAAGATTAGTTTTTAAAATGCAGAACTCCTGCCTGTCCATTAATTTGGTAGGAACATGTTCTGGTGTCATTCAAGGGGTCCCCAACTCATGTGATAGCAATAATCCCATTACCTAGACTGCGAAGAATGACTAGCTTGGGGAAAATACACCTTATTGCTGTTCCCAGTTTCTGTTTAAGAGAAGTACTTTGAGGGAGTTTTTGCCTGTATCAAAGCCTGCTCACTTTTCTACAAAATAGTCACTTAGTAGAGTGCATGAGCATTGGCTTCCCTAAGTTGGCCTAGCCCAACATGAAGGACTGATCCCCAGGAGGCAGGGGTTCTTCACTCTAAAAGTTCATGGTCATCAGCATGTCTGGCAAAGAGTGTTGAGCTAAGCAATGTTTGAGGACTTGTTTTGCTTCAGCACAGCCATGTCTCCTAACTCTCCATGCAGAAATCACAACTGGTTACTGCCTCTGGGAATGACTGAGCAGGGCTGGGTTCAGACCAGAAACAAGTCTACTGTAGCAGGGTGGTTATCAAAATGTTCAATGCCACTTTGCAACCCATCCTTGTGAGCCACCCCTCCCTCCACCACAGTAGACTATCCCATCTGCTATCAATTTTTTTTCCCTGCCTCTACGCAAAGGCCCTACCACTGAGGAGTCAGCACTGTGGCCCTCATGGCATGAGAGCAGTGTACTAGGTGGACCCCAGCTTTGCTAGAAACCCACATTACAACAGCTTCCTGTCATGCCATGAAAGAGGGCTGCTTTCTTGAGGCCACCGGGCTTGCAAGGAGGAGGAGCAGACAGGCTAGGATTACCAATTTGCTTGGGTTTGCTCAAATGGTAAACAAATGAATAGCTGACTATTTCGGCTCCTTTCTCAGGCAATGTTAAGAGCCCAGTTCCCAATGCTGAATTAATTAACTGGGCTATATTTCAGATGGCATACAAGAACTATGTGGCAACAATGAATATATGGGAAAAACGTGGTCGAGACACTGACAGAAGTGTCCAGAAGGTGAAAGCTACTGTCTCTTTGGGTGCGAATTTTGCACCTGACTAACAGCTATACCTACACCACAGTAAAAATGGCTTACGCTTTAATCTTCCTACAAGCCATCTACACACCTGCCTTTGCAACAGGCTCTTGAGGGCTTGTGCAGGAACGTCTGGCAGTAGCCTACGCCACCTAACAGCTTGCGTTGATGTGTGTGATATTTCGTATATTTCACAGGTTATCTTTCAGCCATGCTTGCAGACATTAATCTAGATGGAGAGTAGGCTGTGGCCTCAGGGTGCTTCAAAAAACAATGTAAACAGGCTCAGCTTTTTGAGGAACTCACTTTAACCCAGTGATAAGCAAGAAGCACAGCTGCAGCTATATCACTTTTATTTGGGCACCTACTGTATGTCTGCTGCAGTCTCTTTTTCTCTCCATATGATATTAAGTAATATTGATGTAAACCACCTGTGTGGCACTCTTGGCTTTTAGAAGAAGAAACTCTTTGCCCTGCACATTTTTTTATTCTCTTTGGTTTACATGATACCTACGCGAAAATGTGAGGAATTGTATCTTCCTTTGATGGTTTTAAGATTATATTAAAATAGGTGAAGCAACTGTATTTCTTACAAATCTACTTCTAGCAAGTACAATTTACTCTTGTTTTTAGAAAAACTCTGGAAGGAGTTTTCTTTCTGAGAGCAGGAGAAATAATATGAATATTTATAGCCTTAAGAATGTTATTGAGACATATCAGGACAGAATTCAAAACAGTCAGGGCAGAAGATGACTCATTAATGGCTGTAAATGAAGCAGCTCCCTAGCAATACAGTACTCGAACACTACTCATTTAAATCCCCTGATAAGGGATTTTGTATTCAAATGCTTGTCCTTTTCTCAAACTGTACTGTGCTACACCAAAAAATGCCTCTCCCTATAAGATTTACTTCTGCTATATCTTTAGCTCATCGCCATTATGACAATGCTGAGCTTGTATTCATACATGAAAGGGAAAGAAATACATATGCAGAATGCAGTCCCAGCCCACCTTATCTGACTGCTTGAATTCATTTTGCTTCCAGCCTCCATCTGTCATCCAGAATTGCCTGTCTGCGGGCAAATATCCAGGCTAAGCTTGGATGAAGCCCAAGGTACAGGGCACTTGCACACACAGTTTTCTCATGCACTGCTGCATCCAAAGCCATCAGCTAGGTGAAGTGGCAAACACCTTCTCACTGCCCAAAAACCCCAACCCTGAAAAAGGAGTCTTTCTTCATGCGATGAAGAGAGTCTGACTCTGTACAGCACACTGCACTATGTGTAGGCTTCACCTGGGTTTCAAATCGGAGAAGGAAAATGAAATGTTACTGGTATAATTAGACAGGCATGGGAAAGTTAGGTAGCAGGTGAAAAGCCCTTGTCTGGTTCCTGATTTTTTCTGTATCTCCATTGACACAAAGGAATAGCTTAGAGCTTGGACGCACAAATCAATCAGTCATGGCATCATGAATCATGAGCAATCATAAGAGCAGCAGAAACTCACTGACTGCATGCTCTTACTCCATGATAAATTTGAGGTAAAAAGTGAGTGCTTTAAATGCTGTTCATTAAAGTTGAAACTCATTCAGTTTCTCTTGACTTTCCAATGATAATGAAAAAGGGCACAGTCATTTGTGTGATTCACCTGCTGTATTGTCATGCCATCGCATGTTGGGGCTCTTCACCTTCTGAATCAACCATCCTGGTACCATCCTAGTGAGCTTAGAGGAGTGATTCCCCAAATTAATTTTACATGCAAGGCAGCCCTCAGAAGGCTAAGCTTTGAGGAAACCTCCATTGCCACAGAGTCTTCTAAACCAGTAAAAAACTAGGAAAACACAGTCAGAATCTGCCCCACTTCGGCAAATCCTTTAAACCATTAGTATTCACACTGGCCAAATGGACCCAATAAACACCAAGCTGCGGTACTATCTTTTTCATGCCTACTCCAGGTACCAAGATGAGGTCTTCATTTTCAATATCTGAGCTAGACTCCATCATTCTGCCAGGTATCTTTGCGATTTGTTAAAAAACCTAAAGCTAAATAGCCAGAACTCAGAAATATTTTTTTTTCTCCATACAATGAACAGGTTTATTCTGCCATCACACAATGAGAAAGGTGTTTTCTTGCAAAATATGACATTACCAAAAGTCAATTCTGGCCATTGAGCACTGTTTATAAACTTTGTGAGATTTTTATAAATATGTAGAAAGTGTTATTCTCAAGTGCTCGGACTGAAGGAGTCAGTAAGACAGTGGTACCCTGTATATTAATGGTTCTTAAGAAACATAGCCTACTTTTTATGTAGCCATTTGACCTTTAAAATAGACATTAATCCCAGACAGCTCAACAGCTACTTTAGCCTTCCTCGTTGATGTTTCCCACAATTGGTAATAGCAAAAAAAATCACACTAAAATGCTTGTTGTAACAATATGGCAGCATACAAACATGACAAATATTTATCAATGTGCCACCATGAAAAAAACACAGAAAATATGTGAGGAAAAAACTCCTTGATCATTGCTATTCCTTTAATTTGTGATGGAATCTTTTTAATGTGGCTTTGTTTACTGTAATTTGCATGTCTTTTTATGCATTCATTTGCACTGCATTTCCCCCCATTTTCCTTTAGCTTTAGAACATGTGCCTGTCCCACTTTCTATCAAAATAAAAACTCTCTCCTCTTAAGCTGTTCACATCTGCTCAGTCCTGAGCAGCAGCACACGTAAACAGCAAAAGAAGAAATAGCAAAGCACTGATGTGTCCCCAAATTAAAATCTCAAAGTAGAAAAGCAAGGCAAATCCTTCAGATGTCAGCAGATATCCCTTGTTTTTCCCCTTTTTGTACTCTACATCTAGTGACTTTCACATTTCTAACTGGAAGGGCTTCTCTGTTCCATACTGACATTTCTGTTTTAAAACAGAAAATAGAGACATTCCAACAATGAGTGGAATTTTGTGGCTGGGGTAGCACACAGAAGTGTGAAATCCAGGTCAAAGCCTGCACTCTGCCCACTTACAGTGGCGGAACAGGACTTCAGATTTCCATTTTCCAGAAAAAGACTCAATTGTAATTTTTTTCATTATGTATCTTCTGGTGAATTTTAAACACGTTTTGGCACATCAACCTCAAAAATAGTCTCACACATTCCACATGCATGCTCTAATCAATAGCTATTAGCTAGTTTCCCTTCTGCCAGCTCCTCAAAGTTTTTTTGGGGGGGAGAGAAAGAAGAGAGCTGGCAGAAGGCAGTTACTGATTCAATGCTGAACTGACAAAGGCCAGCCCCAGAAGGTGAAACCCTGGCTCCAGTGAGTTTGGGCAATCCGCATCAGCAAAAATGTAAGAGAAGAAAATACTGTTTGCCCCTCACGGGCAACACTGGGTTGCTGGGGAAGCTGGGGGCCAGGCTCTGACCTGAACATTTTCTTTACAGAATAGACTGAAAATACAACTCTGAGGGAGACATATGGCCCGGCAAATGGGTCCAGACAATTTGCCAGGCTATCTGCCACCTGGAATAGCTCCATTTCGCAAATGCTGGAAGGAGACATCACAGGTCCCTTCTCGCCGTCTGTGCAACTGTGGCACGGGGGCTGCGGTGATGCTGCCCTGCCCCTCTCTTTGTTTCACCTTGTGCCCCAGGCTGGGGGACAAGAAACTGCAAAGCAGGGCAGGACGTCTGGTTTTCAACCTGAGTAACTCCGAAGAGTCAAGCACCTGTCTGATTTTGGCTGCTGTTTTGCCTAATGAGATGATACCTGACAAAAAGTATGGAGGGTACTTGACACCCTGGAAGGAAAGACCTCTTGCAGAGCCCACCCCACATACTCTCTGTCTTGTACGAAGGGAAGGCATGGCCCAGTGCCACGGAGAGCAGCCCTGCCTACTGAGAGCAGAAGTGAGAGTTGAAGGGATGTATTAGAAGAGATTTTCATAGTTTCCTTTGATGGACGAGTGGCCACAATCTAAACTTTTTAACCTAAACAACAAGGTGGAGACCAAACAACAGAAGTCTTCTGTCTCAATGCAAAAACCGCATAGTGTAGCTTCTTCTCCTTTCCCGCAGAAACAAGGCATCAGACCATCTTTTGGCACTGGCCATCAGTCACATGGAGGGGACACTTTCCCCCAGCCAGGAGGACAAATATTTGCAAGCTTTGCTACTCACCTGACTCTGCCAGACCCATGCCTTGTTCTGCATGTGCGGGAATGCCTCTAAGTAAAGGACTACTGCAAGCTTGCATAAGGCATTCAAAGATAATGCAGGCAGCATTCAGCCCTTCTTAAGGGATAGATTGCTTGCAAAGCAAATCTCAAAAATATTTCCAAATCTATATTGCTTTGATGATTTTAAATGTCCTTGGATTTTAGATAATAAACATGTTACCTTTCTTCTTGTCAGTAGTTTAAAAATGGCCTGTCTCCAAGGTTTACTGGTTAAAATGATAGCCTTTGGCTATCAGAAAATAAATAGAAATTTAAAAGGGAGAATTATTTATGAAATCATTATACCATACTACAACTTCATCCATATGTTCACATGTCAGTGCCTGTTTCCTTAGATTTTCTTTCTCCGTAACTCACAGCTTTTAGCTTTGTGATACCATAATTAACAACCTCAATGTTTGTGTTCTGGTGAACAGCTCTCCCCACCCCTCCCAGCCCCGCTTAAGAGATATATCTCTATACTTACTTTTGTTTTTTGGGAATCTTGATATTTTCTGGTCTGTTTTTTTTTGTTATTTCCTTTCCATTCTTTAACCATTTGAATCTGAGCGCAGGGTACTCTGAAGTGGTTTCACACCTTAGCACTAGCTTCTGACCCACAGCAGCCTCTTGGTTTTTCATTTCCTTCAATTTGGGAGGCACTGCTAAAGAAATAGAAAAACGTGCTGGTGATTAGTCCATCCTCAGAAGGGAAAACAGTGCTAATTCGAGTTGAGCTAGGCAAACCCCAGCCAGTCTAGCAACACTTCTCCACCGAAACCTGAAAAATAAAGATCATTTGTGTGTTACGTATATCAACCTTAAAGCATAAGGGCACATTTAATGACAGCCTAGTTTGGCCCTTGGGAGTCCTCCTACAACCTGCAAGCCTTATGCAGCCTTAGCAAGAACTAAAGTGCTGCTTCTGATTACGGTATGAAGCACTAACAACACTTAATTGATCGTGTGCACCTAGACACAAGACAGCATGCTGCGGCAGGCAGCCTTGTAGGTAATACGGAAAGGGAAAGGGAGGATGTCTTGCTGCTTTATTTATTTCGACTGCTATGATTCAGGGGCTGTCCAAAGGCTCCAGGTGCAACTGATGTGACAGGGAGATAAAAGCATAAATTTAACTTTGACAGCTTCTCTAATCTGAGGGAAAGGTTTTTGCTCCAGCCAAACATTATAACCCACGTTATACACCTCCCTCAAACTCAGCTTGGCCATATCCTTTCCCTGAGGCAAATGACAATGGGCTTGGAAGCCCATCAAGAGAATCAATATCAATTAAGGGTATTTTGGACACAGACGGGGACACTGCATTCAAAAGGCTCAGCCAACGGCTCCCACACACTGAAGGGCTCCAGTTGATGCATGCCAGTTTCTACTGTGTTGAAGCAATAGTGTTTCTTCTGTGGGTAAATCTCAAACCATTTAGGGCTTTCTAAGTTAAATATTCCACAACTAGTACCTATCTTTGAGCACAGGCTCTACAAGAAGATATAGTCCCTCTGCAAGACACTAGCCTTCATTTAACCCTGTGGGTTAGCTGTAAACCAGCCTCTATCATGCTCCAGTATTGAGGTAAAACACCTAGTTTTTGGGTTTTTTTAACAAACTTGTGGGGCTTAAGATAACACCTTTACCACACAACTGAAGAAGGCTATTACAGGTGGCTACAGCTGGCCAGCTGATGGGTCATACTGGGTGAGTCCGTCCCAGCCAAGCTGCACCCCGTTGCTGGTCCATTACCTCCAGGGAACCAGTATTCCCATGCAGCACCTCTACCTGCAGTGTGTTTTGTTTCTTGAACAGCTGTAATATTGTTCAAGGAAACAAATGGCCAGCATGGCCAAATGATTCTCCATAACATGCAGATTAGGAGCGTTCATCAGGACAGCAACAGGTCTCCAATATGGTCCTGTACAAGGAAATGTTTTAACAAACTGTAACATGCTTGATTACTGTGGTGGGATGACTCTGCCTCCTTTGGGACACATCCACCTGCTCTAGCATGGGGTCCTCCATGAGCTGTAGGTGGATATCTGCCCCACTGTGGACCTTTGTGGGCTGCAGAGGGGACAGCCTGCCTCACCATGGTCTTCACCATGGGCTGCAGGGGAATCTCTGCTCTGGTAGCTGGACCACCTCCTCCTCCTTCTTTTTCACTGACCTTAGTGTCTGCAGAGTTGTTTCTCTCACATGTTCTCACTCATGTCTCCAGCTGCAATTGCTGTTGTGCAGGTTTTTTTACCCCTTCTTAAATATGTTATCCCAGAGGTGCTACCGCCATTGCTGATGGGCTCAGCTTGGCCAGCAGGGGGTCCATCTTGGAGCTCTATCAGACATAGGGGAAGCTTCTGGCAGCTTCTCAGAGAATCCACCCCTGCAGCCTCCCCACTACCAAAACGTTGCCATGGAACCTCAGTACAATTACATTTTGGTATCTGTTGCTTGTATGTTTGTGGAGACTTGTCGATGTCAATTGCCCTTAATTATTATTCCAATCAGACAAAAAACAACCAGCACCATCATGGCTGTAACTATCACAGAATCATAGAATCTTTGAACCAGAAGGGACCTTTAAAGGTCATCTAGTACAACCCTTCTGCAATAAACAGGGACATGTTCAACTAGATCAGGTTGCTCAGTGCCCCGTCCAACCCGACCTGGAATGTTTCCAGGGATGGGGCATCTACCACCTCTCTGGGCAACCTCTTCCAATGTTTCACCACCCACAATGGGAAAAATTTATTCCTTAGATCTAGTCTGAATCTACCCTCTTTTAGTTTAAAACCCTTGTCCTATCGCTACAGGCCCTGCAAAGTGTCTGTCTCCATCTTTCTTATAGGCCCCCTTTAAGTACTGGAATTATGAGAGGCATGTATGAAGAACTGGATACACACATGCCCGATAAGCAGTTGACTATTGCAGACAACAGCACAGCCTATCCCACATGTGAGGCAACTTCCTGATCCCAGAAAAGCCCAGGGAAGTCAGGGAAAGCCTGATTTCCCTGGAAACTGAACCCGGAGCAGAGCAGTATAAACAAAGGTGGTTGGGAAAATGCGGTTCGGCAGTGAACGAGCAAATGAGGTGGCACCAGCTGGGCCACCAGCAGAAGATAGGGACAGAGCAGCCTTCAATAATTAAAAAAATTCTGATTAAGATGGAGATGACAACTCTTTTCATGCAACTCTGCTGGTGTGGAAGAGAAGTCCCTGGCAGGAAGTCTTAGGCTAGACATCAGCAAAACCTCTGAGGGTAACAGCAAAACAAGAAAAGGGAGATCTTCCCTGTGGAGGGCATCCTTGGAGGTTTTACATACAGGGTAGGCACCTGTGTCAGGGTGGCACTGGGACGGATCAAGTAAGGCCCAGGATTTCATGACCAGAAAGAAATCTCTCCCAAAATGTCTTCTCATGTGTTGGTTTCCATTTTCCAGCCCCCACAGGATAATTTGGGACATTCCAGCATGTTTCCCAAATGCTACCAAAACAATTTTTGTCTTCTGAAAAACAAATTCCCATGCACCGTTCTGAAAACAACATGTTTAAATGTATGTGCTTTTATGAGTGTGTGTGTGTTTGTACATATACCTATAGGTATAGGTATAGGTATAGGTATAGGTATAGGTATAGGTATACATATACATATACATATACATATACATATACATATACATATACATATACATATACATATACATATACATATACATATACATATACATATACATATACATATACATATACATATACATATACATATACATATACATATACATATACATATACATATACATATACATATACATATACATATACATATACATATACATATACATATACATATACATATACATATACATATACATATACATATACATATACATATACATATACATATACATATACATATACATATACATGCATGTCTAAATGTTCAGGCATTTACCTGAAAGGGAGAAAGAATTTTTGAAAAATACCATCTTTAAATTTTCCTTAAAAATAATCAGCATTAATTAATATCCTTACTACTGAAGTTTGTGCTGATCATTTCATTCTGTCATTAAAGAGTTAAGGTTATAGTATTTCATCACTACCTAAGAAAAGGAGCTGCAGAGATATGACATAAAAAGGCAATATTCCTTATTTTAACGTACTTTGCTTATTATAGTCCTAGTCCATATCTTGCATAAATTAAGAGAATAACCACAATTGCAAGGATCAAAATTTTTGTGCTTAAGACTTCAACTGGTTATTGACTTTCCTGTTAACATAGCACTGTGAAACTGGGAATAAAAGGGAGATGCCATTTTGTTCCTGAATTTTATTTTAATGCAGTATTATCTGCTCAAAATGACTTGCAGATTTTTTCTTCCATCAGAATTGTCAATGAAAAAAAAAGTGTTAAATTAATATGCTCAACTCTTGCCATAATTCAGGAGTTACCAGGAAACATAAAAGAGGATTTAATCAATGGCAGTGACCCTCACTAATTCACAGTAACTTGCTGTCCAAGCATGCAAGGCTCTCCAGGGAAAGCAGTAAAAGCTGTTCACAGACGTGACAGAAAAGAGGCTGTTTCTTCTTTTTTCTTTTCTCCTTTTCATTTACACTATGTTTATTTCCTTTCAGCTGAAGTTTTGCAAAAGCTAATCAGACCTGCCAGGCATATGAGGAACCTCATGCTGATAAAACTACGGCACTGTGTGCTTGGATCAAGATCAGCTACAGCTTCCACTGGTGCAAGACGCCATTGACTTTCACCACAGCCTGTGCCAGTTTCTCCAGTGCTGGTAAGACAGGACCTTACCCCCTTGTCTGAAGGGTAAAAATGGAGGTAAAGGAGGCGAAAATGATTACGATGATAACTAGACATTGCTCCCCTTTGACTTCTTACCCCGCCTCGCCTCTCTACCCCTTCCCCCTTTGTCCCCACGGCATCTCCTGCCAGCGTGGCTCCTCTTGACCGCTGCAGCTCCGCTCCCACCGCTGGCGAGGCTTCTGCCCACCGCTGCGGCTGAGGCTTGCTGCTGCGGGCAGGAACGAGGGAGAAAGGGCAAGGAAAACACCGTCTGCATCTCCTACGCATGGATGGAGGTTAAGGTGCCTTCCAGGACAGGATGACTTGGTCAACGTGCATTGTGAATGTGGAAGCATTTCCTGCGGGTCACATTTCAAGCAGCGCCGTTGCGAGCAGCTCCGGTATGGCGGCAGCAGAGCCCTTACGTGTGCCATCCAGCACAGAATGACAAGGGCCAGGTAGCAAAGAAAGCAGGCAAATCCCAAAGAGAAAGAGCAGAAATCAGGTGTAGGAGCACCCCGAAAGTGGCACTGCTTGAACGAAAGGTGCAGTGGGTCCGCTTTATCTGCATTCCTTGTGCCAACGCCTGGGAAGGCCTCACACTTTGGGAGTCAACTAGACACACAGAAAGGCACTCGTGTTTAACCCCAAGCTTTTCACACTCCCCACTCAGGACGTCTCCCTGTGACCCGAGGGCCTTCCCCCGGTTTGACAGACGTTCTAAGAAAGCAAGAGGGGTGATCACGGCAAGAGAGTATGATCTCAAAAGCAGCGGAGCACTTGTGTCGGTCAGCAAAAGCCCAGCACTGTTGGAAAGGTTTAACAGGCAAAAGCATGCAAGGTGTTAGAT